TTGATCTGATGAGGAAAGGCGTGCAAATTCTAATTAATTGCAATTAAGTATAAATTATTATTCTTAGGACCAAATTTTTGCCTATAATACAATAGTTTAAAGACAAATTAGTGCTCTTTTCTGATAATTAACAAATATGTAATGTAACTTTTTTTTGTCTCTGACATATCGAACACTTAATTTGGCTCTATCACTGAATTTTTGTGCAAGCGTCGAGTGATTTAATGTACCATCACATCTCCGTGATTGACACTCTCTTTTATGAGGTAGTATTTTCTCTTTATATGTCTACCTTTTTAATAATTTCTCGATAGCTTTGATTATACTACTGTATCACTATTATCACAATATCTTATGGGTTGCTTAGCCATTGGAACTATATCAAGATCTTGGGGGATTTTCCAGAGTTGTACGACTTTCTTGGCAGCTTCACAAGTCACCATATATACAACCTTCACATCAGAGTTAAGAACAGATGATTAACTGATATAAATTGTTAACAACTCTCCACCCCAACTACATAAAAAAAATATACAATGTAATGCATAACGTGATATTATATGAAATGTCCACGATCGAGGTATAGGTACTCATTTAGTTCATATTTTGTAAATTTTAATAAAAACTGATGAAATGTATGGTTGAAAAACTATGCGTTCTATTAAATATGTGGTTAAAATTAATTGTTGATTTTAATTTAAAATTTTATCATACTTTTTTAGCTTAACCAAACAAGGACTTAATATGCTAGACCTCATATAAGTCCAAGGGAACAGCTCTTTTGGATTGATGGATTTTTATGGCCCTAGAACATGGATAAGCTTCTTATGAGTAAAATATGTTATGCATGTTTGAATAAGTATAGGCACATTTGTATTTAGCAATCTACTTATTAGCAAAATCAGTATTACGACTTATCGAAAGTCTTTTATGTCGTTTAATGATTTTTTAATACAAATGAGCTACTTCTTTTATACAACTTAAGCATATTTGTCCATTTTTTCTTCTCATTTTCAGAACAATCGTGCTACATGTACACTCTTTTTTTACATTATTTTTTACATCATGTCACGTGACGACATCATATTGGACAATTTTAAAAAACATACTTTCCAACCAACAATTTTTTTAACAATGTCAAACTTTGAGTGTGCATTTAACATTGCTCTTTTCCAAATGGGTGGTCCCATGTAGGGTTGGACAAAATGTCCGAATCGAACTGAACCGAACCGGAACCGAACCGAACTGAACCGAACCGAGCGGATTTTCTTAACTTAAAAACCCGAAGAACCGA